TCTGATTACAGTAAGAAGAAACATGCTCTGGAAATTGTCCTTATTAGAGTGCCAAAAGACATTTTCTTGCCTCAAAAGGTTGCACCTGAAAGACACAAACTAATTTGTAATTTCACAATCTGAAAATTTTCTCTAATGAGGCAAACGCTGTTTCTCCTCTTTTAGTAAAAAGATTTTTTACCATGCTAAACTGTAGACTGCTGGATTTTTAAATGTATGGATTTCCAGTGTAGACTATAAATATATGCACAGTAGGCAGTCTGACAGTAATGAGGTAATTTTCAGATGTCATTTTTCAATCTTTCTACATATAATCAAGGAAATACCAATTTTCTATCTTTAACAAAAACAGTTCACAGCTCACCAATCTCATTTCATTTTGGGGTTACAAATTCATGTGGTTATAAAACTGTGTAGGACTTGTATTTAACCTTTTCCTTGGTGCCAGTTGACCAAACTGTTCATTTGTTGGTTTTGAAGAGTGAATACTACTTGCGAGATGAGAAATAACCCGGTGCAATATTATTTGGGCTATTAATGTACTGTGAATGGTGTATGCAAGGAGAAATTAAAAGCTGTGGTGGTATTCCGCTGTTTGTTTTTACAAACTTAACAAAAGCTGTATGACCCACAGCTATTCGTGATTAAGTTGTAGAGTGTTTTAGTAGACAAAGTGGACTCAAACACTATAAACTGATGGTACTGCTCTACCCTAGACTTTCATGATCTGTGTATCCTATAAGTTTCATTTTGTATTGAACAATTTGTAGTGGTCTGCAAACTGTCTGAAGGTTAGTTCCTCTAAAGTGGTACTATTTCTATTTCAGAAAATTATGGACTTTAACTTACAGGTAGAGAACAGGATGTAATCATTGTCTGAGGCATTTATTCCATCTGGCATATTCATCTATATATTTTATCTAATGGCATTTTCTTGGATCATCTACTGGTCCAATTAGAAGACTAAGTCAGATCAGATGCTTTTCCTTGCTGTTTTTAGATACATTTCTTACTGAACGTTTATATTATACAGAAAATATAAACACAAATTCAACCAGCTAAACACAGATTTATCATGATTACAGAGGTCCTTTTGGGGAATACTACCATCATGAAGCCAACAGAGGCCTGGATATAAATAGGGGAACCACAAAGAAAAGGGGAGGGGGGAAGAAATTATTCTACCATCAATTTTTAAATGTCTAGCTACTGGATTTGTTAATCACATGCCCTTACACAATGTATAAAATGGTTTAGCATTGCTCACAACAAAAGGGAATAAAATACCTCACAATGCAATCAAGCATACTTCAGTTTCAAGACAATAAAATGCTGTCATTTGTCTTTCTTCCTTAGAAGGTTAGCAAATTCAGGTGCTCCTGAAAAGTCCCCAACTGCCTTGGTGTTACTAGTGAAAAATCTGTTTGGCCTTTCAGTGAAGTGTACGCAAGAATAATGCTTTCAAAAACAGGAGAGACTAACTTTAATCTCCTGTGGGTATCTCTCTTGTATACAGAATGTGGGATTTTCATAAGCACTGAAGTTCCAATAGCCTCAGATGAGATGCACTGATAGAAAAAGCAGTGAAATTGAAGCTCATCTGCTTTGGCTTCTGCAAGCTGTATATTCAGAAATTGGTATCAACTTTTGCTATGTATTTTGCAACTACTTACCTATCAACTTAGTTCAAGTTAGAAAGCACCACAGACTCACAATGGTAGAAGCATTCTGAATTAGTCTTTTTTCAACACACATTTCTTTAGCAAATATAGACCACTAGCTAGCACAGGATGTCAAAGATATAGGCCACAGAGCCCCATCATTTGGTCAGCAATGCTGCCCTAGGATTTGGAGTTGAGCCACATGCTATCTATGGTATGGCCTGCACATAAGGCCCACAAACCCTGTTCTAGCTGGTCCAGGATGGGTGCTGCACATGATATTCACTCCAGATGGTCTAAAGACAGTACCCACCCTGGCTGGTCCATGGAGAACACCATGTAGACTGCCTGGAATGGGTACAATGTGCATCCCGGACTGGATGCCACATGCAGCGCATGTCTTGGGCTAGCTGGAGCAGGCACCAACTGTGCTGGATTCAGCATGTGGAAGGGAGGATCTGACCTACAGAAACAACCTTGCACCACTCATCTGGCCTGCAGGGCCACCCGAGTGAATACCCCCGAGTTGGAACAATTTCAGATTTCATGCAAGGATAAAACATTTATTTTACTTTCCTCCTATGTTATAAATTCATAAATTTTTAGAAGTGTATTAAGGATTTTTATCTACCCTGTGGGGGAAATGTCTTATGGCTACAGCAGTCAAAACATTAATAAATACTTTACATTATATTAAATTATTAAATAACATATACAGAACAGGTTTTGGCAGACTTACCTCCTTACCAAAGGCATGAATTGAGCTACTAAGTGATGCTGCTAAAAACAAGTCAGATGCAGCTTTCAAGGTGGCAGTCGCTTAAAACAAGGTGTTGGTAGCCAAATCAGGGAAAAGGATGATAGGATTTTTAAAGTCAAATGTCTTACAAAATGGTAGGGATAAAACAAACTTACTGGTTATTGGAAAGCTGTAGTGGAAATAATTCATTTCTACCCTCCTTTCACTTTAAGATACCTGAACTTAAAAATACATACCAGGCAAGGCAGGAGGCTTTTTTTTTTTAAGCATACACAGATAAACCACGCTACCTGCTTTGTCAGCCAATGGTGAGAACATTTTGTATTTAGTGAACCAGAGAGGACGTGACTTGTCAGCAACAGTCTGGCATTCAGGAAAGCAAGAAAGCTCTAACTAGAGTTGGAAACACCAAAACAAAAATCAGGAACAAACCAACTGAATGAACTGTATTAGTTCACTGATTGTACACAAAACCATCACAAGAAACATTGTCTTCAAAGGCTAAATACGGGCAACAGGCCTACAATTACAGAAGAGACTTGAGAGAAAAATAGAAAAATATTGCAATCATATGAAATATATTAGCAGCTTCACTTTGATCTTCTAACAAGCCAACCCCTTACAACCTTCTCCTGGGAGAAAAAAAAACTTTAAATGTTCAAAAGAAAGCACCAATTTATTCCAATATAATGACATACAATCCCCAATGCGGACATAACTGCTGCACAAGAAAGGACTTGGAAAATGGTACCTGTACAAGCACAGCGTGTCCAGATTAGAGGTTTTTGTTTTTTTATAAGTATTTGGATATAGCTACCCAAATACCATTCAAGCCTGGCATACAGCCAAATTTGCTGTGCCAATTCAAGCACATACCAGTTGTGTCCTTTAGTTTGACTTAACTTGCCCTGGGGGGAAAAAGCCATTCATATTTAAACCTTCATAGATACCCACATACGGCTGCACCTCTGACTAAAAAAGGGCAACATCACAACTTCTGTTAATTTGGGATCACTATGTGTAGACTAACCCACAAAACCCAAAAATTCTCCATCACACTTGCTGAGTTGTAACACGTAAAATCGTTCAGTTCTACATGGTAAATATATATGCTTAACAACCTAGTTTTATCATAAAGTCATTACTGAAATGAGTGGTAGTGTTTTTGTACGTTTAAAATTCCGACTGAATATACACATACTTCTTTGCATGAGAAAACCCCTCTTATTTTAATTTTCTATTTCCCGTTATCTAAGACTGGTCACTACAGACCCAGAAATTTTTCATAAACACATACATAAATCCCTTGTTACTAATCACATATCTAAATCTCTTTTTACTAACCACACAGATGTCAAAAGAGCATCAAATTTTGCCTCCTTTATTTCTATGTCATGTAGTATACACGGGGTTCAATGCCTTGATGTAGAATGACAAAAGCAAAGTTCAGATACACGGGTATAATTATTCAATTATGTTACAGAAAACAATACTGTACCCTTTAATAGTCCTCTGTAAGCAGAACTTGTCAATTCCTGCTGAAGGAGGGCAAAAACCCAATCATGTGCAATGGAACTACTGCATAAGCCCAGGGCAATAGCATACATGCAGCATACACTTACAATTTTATTAAGACAGAAAATTTCTCCCCCCACACTTTGTGCTACATTTTAGGTTTTCCCCACCTCCCTGCATTACAAAAATAATTTATTTTCTGAGATCTTTAGTCATAACAGCATTATACTTGTGCTTGTAAACTTCCTGATAATCTCCCAACTTTGACATTTTCACAGCCGAAACATGTTAGCAGTATTTCTTAAGGAATGAAATATAAAAGTATTACAACTGACACCAGAATTGTGTGTTTACAAAACAGAAAAGAAAAACCTACATAAAAAAAAAAAAAAATCA